CGTCGGCTGACCCTGGCGCGTCTTCAGAAACATGGGACATCCGCTGCTGCAAGTAAGCGCCGTCGGCAGCCTGACGCAGCCCAAGTAAGCGCCCGCCGCTGCAAGGGCCGCGGAGCTTCTTTCTCCCTCTTTCGCCGGCGCTGTGCGGGGACGGCTGTTCGGGAGGCGGTCGCGCGCTCTGAGGCAGCCGCGGGGAAGGCGCGCTCGCCTACTCGGCTCCGCCAAGTTGCAAGAGGGAGCAGAGCAACGGGCACCCTCCTGTTTGCGAAGCGGAGGAAGGCCGGGAAAACTGCGCAGGGGGGAGGACACTTTGTGCAAGAATGCGAGGAAGGAAGGGGAGGTAGCAAGTGCGTGGCTAGTCCTCAAGATCGCGGGCAGGAGACCCTCAAGCTCCCTTGCTTGTCAGGACTAAGAAGACCTGGGCACGCTGCGCTAAGACCCAGTGGCAGAAAGGCCCGGCTCAGCACCACCCAGGCAGGAATGGGTGTGAATCACATACCTGCCGGAAACCCTGCAGACCTGCCATAGAGGGGTGGGGTGGAAAAATGTGTATCCTGGTCGGTTTCTAGCTTTAAAAAAGCAAATGCCCCCAACCTAACACCTTCCAGGTGGGTTGGGTTAAAACTCGCAGCATTCTCATGGCAGCACCTGTTTGAGGATGCTGGAAGTCATTGTCTAACACGCTTGAAAGACTCCAGGTTGCAGAAGGCTGAACTTAACCCCTCCCCTCCCCCATCAATAAGAAGTATAAATAACTTAGTCCTTAGAAGGACCGTAGAGGGAGGGAATAATAGGAAGTGCACTGAGCTTTGTGTGGAGTTGTTCTTTCCACCCTAAGCTTGTCCTGTTAGGCTGTCCACATGGGCAAGAGGTAGCCAGGTTTGAGCTTTGATGCCTTAAGAAGTAATCCATGACACTCCTCTGATTTTTAAAATCTACCCATTCTGTTCTAGAATTGTGGCAGTAGCACTAAGGGAAATGATTGCAAAATTTAAGGGAACCACATCTATGCAAGTTTGCAATTTGGCCGGGGTTAAATATAAGAATTGTGCAACATCTTGCCCTTTTGTACCACCTTATCGGTAACCAATAACAACAGCTAATTATTAAAACCCACTTTGCCTGCATGTGGGAGCCCTGTGCCAGGTGTTAACTTCTCAGAATCCGATCCTCATTTTAAAATGTGATTTCCGTCAGCATGCCAAGCCGCAGTTTTGGTTCTCTGGGAACATCGGAAGCTGCTCTACACGGATGGAGACAGCTGGTCTAGCTAGCTCAGTACTGTCAACACTGGCTCTCTGGGCTTCCAGGCAGGAGTTTGGAGATGTCGGGGACTGAACCTAGACTCGTCTACATGCAAAGCAAGGTCTCTACCACTGAGCTAGGACCACTCCCCATTGATGGACGGCAGATTCCCATGTGCAAAGGGCAGTCAGCCCCGGAGACACCCCAGCACCTGCCCTAGCCTTATAAGAGGCACAGGAACAAGCACTCAAGGTCCAGTTGTCTCTCCCTCTGTGCACCCACCACAAACTGCAGTGCTGTAGCTTAGCTATTCTCTGCATGTGCCACATTTGGTATAGGTGCCAAATACAAGGCAACAGACTTAAGGATCCCTCCCCTTGTGCAGAAAACCCTTCTGTGCAATGGGAAGTGGGGCAGATTCCGTAAGGAGGAAACAGGAGTGGGCTTGTAAATGGAGGAGTGGCATGGAAGAGGCCCCAGGAGGGAAAGGGCAGAGGTGAGTATCCAGTGGAAGTGAATGATGTGGGGATGGAGCATGGAAAGGAGGGCCCTTCTTGGGAAGGAGGGGTAAACCTGCCCCAGGAAGCCCCGCCATCCCCTTCTTTTCGGCACCTTTTGCTGCTTATGCTATCATTGTCCTGACACAGTCTTCCCAACTTTCAGAGCTTGATGGGAGACCCCCAAATTGATTTTCTTGAAGTTGGAGATGCCCTTCGTTTCCCATTTTCTGAGCTATCATCTATTTAATTAGGATGCATTTCAAGGAGGCTGATATAATAATAAGCAGTATTAATGTGGCATATTCCTTAAGTGTTCAACACATTTTGCACATTTTCTTGTCCATTTTTCTGGACACAGGGCACTGCTATGATGTTGCCCTAATAACGCTTCTATTCTCCATGAACCGTTTCCCTGGGGTCAGATTGTTATGACAAGTTTCTGGGGAGAAGTTGCTTCTCACTGCATGGTATCACACAGGGAATCACAGTAAGCTAAAATGTGGCTGAGAAGCATTTGTCAGATCATTAGTGGAAGACTTTTTTGGCCACATTTTATGCAGAAGAAGAGATCTGCCCAGATCTAGGCCACAAGTCTTGGCTAGATAAAATTTTATGTATTGCTTCTGGTAAAAAAAAAAGTTAGCTTGAAAATATGTTGAATGCACATATCCCTCACCATGTCGGATATGTAGTCTGGACTTCTAATTATCTACTTGCTGCCCTTCATCAAATGGGAAGTAATTAGTTAGTTCTTTTGATTCTCCTCTCCCACTTTTCTCTATGTTATGTTCACTATGTTATGAACTGCTAACTTAGGTTTGTAGGGAGAGGTAGCTTAGTAATTTGTATGGATTTGCTTTATAAAGTTAATGTAGTTTAAAATCTGCAGCTAGAAATACACTTTTAGAACCATATTCTTAAAGGACAATTATGAAATTATTTGGTTCTGAAAGAGCATAAAATGTGAATTCATTTGACCAGATTAAGTGGTGGCTTTCACAAGATCAGTTTCTTTTAATAAAGAAATATGAAAAGTGTTGATTCTAGAGAACTGTTTATGATATACGGCATATTCTATGCCGTAAAGAGTTCCAAGCAATTGTTTTCAGCACATAGTACTGGTTGAGAATTGTATTGATTTGCTAGATGAACCTATTTATTGGGACATTGTCATCAAAAGTTAATCATACAATACATATGTATAAAAGTGAGAAAATACCATTGTAAAACAATAAGAAGTGGTAAAAACAAGACAGACGTATTGGTTTAAATCACCAAGAAAAGTACTGATTGGTACCCAAAGGATGACCAGGTTGGCACCAGTTGTATCTGCACGGATCTTTTGCAAACAAAACCGCAACTGAGGTGGCTTTTTCCCTGGCTGTCCTTCAGCAAGTAGAAGACATCTTGAGAAAAGCCTCATCTGCAGTTCCTAGAATGTAAGCAGGCTGATTTGGGGACAGGTGTCCCTTTAGGTATTTTGCTGCCAGGACATTGAGGGCTTTACAGCTAAGCACAAGTCCCTTCCAAGGCCTGGAAGGAAATTGGCAACCAGTGCAGCTCCCTTAGGCGTGGCCTGCTTTGACCCCATCTGGCTGTGCCCTGGACCATTCTCCTAGCCGCATTCTGCACTTGCTGAAGCATTCCAGTCTTCCAGACAACTAGTGCATTACAGTAGTCCAGTCGAGTTTTCCAGCACATGCAGCACAGCAGCCGGACTATTTCTATCCAGGATGCTAAAGCCAAATGAAATTGCGATGTTTCTGCAATTTCCAGCAGAAGGCTGGTACAGGACTGGGGTTCATAATGATTTCCCCTTAATAGGTTTCCCACTGCAAACTGCCACCCAACTCCCCCTTTTTTGCCATGGGGAACAAATAGACAAATGCCTTTGCCTTCTTTCCTTGGGACATTTAGTGGCAGGAAATGTCAGAGGAAAAGCTCCTTGTGCCATGTGAATATTTCAATATCAATTGTAACTTCTGCATCTGGTAAAAGTTTTTTAAAAGTGGGGGAGAAGTGTCTGATAAAAAGGCACATAGGAAGAGTTTGGCCTTTATCTGGTTGTGTCTGATATTTGTGTGTAAAACTTATCCGTGGAACCTAGTCTAGTGGCTGGAAACCGCAAGAAAGCCTCCCAGTCCACTGCTCAGTGTAGTGTTTACGTTAAGATGGCAGGATTTACAGTTCTGCAGTTTTTATCCCATGATAAATCTTTGTCTCATTTATTATTCCTTTAGTTTTGCCATACACAGAGTTGGTTCCTTTCCTCATTGCCTTGATGTGCAGATACTCAGCCCATGGGAGGTCATAATAGTTATTTGCTGGTAGGTAAAAGTCACCCATCCATTCAAAAACCCCTCAAAGAACACTTGTAGGTTGATTACTATAAATGGAGAATAATTGTTCTCCTGATTCTTGGCTTGGCTGGTGTTTTGTTTCCCACAGCCATCCAAGAGAAAGAGGCATATGCCCCCTGGGAGTCTCAAGAGTTTCTGCCCTCAGTACAGAATATTCTGATCTATTTTTCTGTGTGCCACTGGTTTACAGGAAGTCTTGACCATCTTAATCTGGGGAAGTATAAATAGCCTTGGGCAATGCCAAGGAACTGAACAGCTTGTCCAAGATCAACAGCTTGTCCAAGATCAATGTTAAGAATGGCTGGAGTTGAAATTCAGCAGCCTCCCCCAACCAAGAGACCTCCGTGTGTTTCGGACTTAAATAGTCATCAGCCCCAGGTAGCAAATGGTCAAGAATGCTAGGATTTGGAGGCAAAATCATTTGAATGGTACCAGGTTGGGGAAGACTGCATGACAGGACAGGAAAAAGAATCTTGATACGTTTTGTAATTAAGCAACATGGGACTTCTCTTAACTGGAATTTCTGCACATTACAATCCTAAGGTAGTATTTTTATAGCTTATTAAGGAAGAACTGCAGTGTGTTCTTTTTGGGTGTTCCCATATTACCCACTTATGACAACTTCCTAGTATTATTCAAGATGTTTATATATAATGGAGAAATTTTCCGATGAGTCTATCCTTTAAAACCAAGATCTCTTCTTGTTGATACCAGAGTGTAGGACACGGAATAATCAACTCAAGTTGCGACAGCCCAGATTCAGGCTGGACATCAGGAAAAGCTTCCTCCCTGTCAGAGCAATGCGCCTGTGGAACCAGCTGCCTGGAGAGGTGGTGGGCTTTCCCACACTGAAGACCTTCGGAAAGAAGCTGGACAGCCATCTGAGTGAGCTGGTGTAACTTGGTGTCCTGCATCAGCAGTGGGGTGGACCCAAAGGCCTTCATGGCCCTTTCCAACTCTAGTATTCTATGGTTCTAAGATGAATCCAGTGTCTTTTAAAACCAGGTGAGTGGAACCTTGTCTGGGCAAGCTCATGGGTGCCTCCATGCCAGCAGTGGACAGCCATCTGGCCTCACCCACACTCACCACCACAGACATGGCGCTTCTCCCCCTGCCACACTGTGGCATTTTAAAGCTTAACTGTGGGAGGGGAGTTGAGGGGAGGTTCAGGGCACTGGCTGGAGAGCTGAGGCTTCTCTCTAGCATTCCCCCCCACAAAAATACCAAGCTCACATGCTGGCACAAGGCTTTACAGGGGTGATGGGGTGGTGGTCATCACAGCACTGGAGAGGAGTGGGTTAACCCTTCCCTTCCCAGCAGCAACCCTCCTTAGCGCACACCTTCTGTGCTGCAATTAGGTCTCCACTGCCTTTTCTTTTAAAACAGCTGCAGTGCAAGATGGAGGAGGGAATCTCTCATCTGCAGTCTGGCTAGCAGTGATGGAAGTTGCAGTCGAACACGTCTGGAGCGTAGCATATTGGGAGTGGTTGGTTTGGAAGTTTGGTTTGGCTTAGTCCTAATCTCACTCATTTTTACAATAGCCCTGTTTTGTACATTAGCTTTGACTCCTTTTCCCAGACCAGTTATCAGTCCACGTCTGGGATGAGCAAGACTTTGAATCAGGCTCTTTCCAGTGAATGGGGCATCTTGGCCAATGGATCTCTCTCACCCTGGCAAACAGTGGACCATGTTTACCCATTGCCATGACCCTAAATACTCGCAATAATGCAGAGCGTATTTCCACAGTCTTATGGAGGATCCACGTTTCCCTTCCCACCTGCCATTGAAACTATCACCATAAACGTGACAGTAAACAATGACCCAGACCTTGCACTGGCACAAATATCTTTGTTTGTGGAAGGGCCAGGCGATTAGGGAGAACTGTGATTCTCCAGCAGCTCTTTAGCTGAACCCAGTCTTTTTTCCAGTTCTGGAAATTTCCTAGTATATTCCCAAAGAAAGTTATTGATGATAGCTTAAAGTTACCGGGGCTGTCTCTGGCACAAGTGCAGAATTACAAAAGGCACAGCTGAGTGACTCTCTTCTTTTGTACTCCTTCAACATATGTTAACACAGCCTTCTCTGATCTAGTACCCTCCAGATATGTTGGACTCCAATTCTCATAAGCCCCAAGCAGAATGGCCAGTGTCTGGGAACTATGGGCTTTGGACTGCTAAACATCCAAAAGCATTGGAAGTTTCCCTTCATGGCTCTTTGAGGTCCTGTTTCTGAGTTGGGTGCTGGACAGTTCTTCAACAAAACCATACACTAATTATTGTTTTCAAGATTTATACACCATTCAGTTTTCTGGTGTGGAGAATTTTTAGCAGTGACCAATAAAAATAGAACAGGTAAAAGAAAAAAACAGATGTTAAAAGTAGAATCATTAAAATCATAGCTGGTTGGTTCAGGAGGGCTTCCTGAAATAAAAGCATTTTCAGGAGATGCCACAAACAATGCAGCGCCAGTGCCTGCCTGACCTCCAGAGGCAAGGCATGCTGGAGGAATGGAGCCACCATACTGAAGTCCGTTCTCTTGGTGGATCTCAGTCAGGCCAAGTGAAGCCACCAGGAGACTGTCCTCAAATGACCTGGGAGAAGGAGAAGGCACTCTCTCTGGGATCCTGGCCCCCAAGTTGCTCAGGGCTTTGTGCACTAGTGCCAAAACCTTAAAGTGAACTGGCCAGTGCAGTTCCCTCAGCAGGGTTGTTGTACGCAGCTCTTCACGATACCCAAATCACTGCATTCTTCCAGACCAGCCCTGAGGGCTGCTCTGTACAGAGCGCATTGCCGTAGTCTTGAGGTCACTAGCACCCATCCCACTGTACCCAAGTGCATGATTGCATGTTACGGCCATAAAAAATGTCATGTTCTGCAGCTTAATGGGACCTTTCCTCTGTGTGAGCTACGCAACCACATACATGTGCTTAAAAATGCCCTCAAGGTACCTAGCTCATTTGAGGGCTCGTTTTACTCATAATTGTATCAAGCTACATTAGGAAGGATGGTGGCTAGAAACTAATCAAGTGCTATAAATAAATTATAATTTTGGGCTTTTAAGAGAAAAATTCAACAATGCACTGCATGTGTAAATCTCTGAGCAAGATCGTTGACTTTTTTTATTAGCAGTCCAGACCTTTTCCAGAATCAAGGACAGGTAAAACTGGTTTTCTTCTTCATGACATGATCTTCAGTAACATATCCATGCTGTTTGAAAAGTCAGATCATAAACACTCACCATGTCTGGGACCTGCGACCCCCTTGCCCTGAGTTCGGCACTGCAGCCAGCCAAGCCTTTTGCAAAGGCACACCATTTTTGCCAATCAAAGATCATTCTAAAGATTTTTTGGTCTTCTCCAAAACTTGGGGCTTCTTGAAACCTACTGATGACTGCATCTGCTGTGTCTTTCGTATTTTGTAAAACCTGAAAACTGAGCCAGTTGCAGATTTGCAATCCTAACACATGTCTTCCAATCAGTGACTCCTCTTGAGACGAGTGGCCAACAGGAAGGGCTCTGCTGGATCTGACCAAAGGCGGATCTAGCCCCACATCCTGGTCCAACCAGGGCCGGTCAGATGCCCCTAGGAAGCGCCCAACTGTGTGTGATACCTGTTTAACAGCATCTAAGTTGCTGACTGTTGCTTTATTGTGGAAGGAAATCACCTTGTTTTAACTATGCCAATGTTAGATTGTTGTGAGAAAAGCTACAAAGCATCTTGTGGCTCCTTAAAGATTCACAAGTTCATTGTGGGTTAAGGCTTTTGGATGCTGCATGAAGATGTGTTTTGATTTGTCTGTCCTCAGTCTCCCACTGTCAGCTTCCTTGGATGACCCAGTGGGGTTGTAGCATTGTGTAAGGAGGAGGGGAAAGAAATCGCTATCTACTTTAACCATGCCATGTACAACTTTCTGCAATACTATGCTGTTCCTCTCTAAAGACCAGCAACGTAAGCTTTCCTAGTGGAGGAGTTGTTCCAGCCCTTTGACCATTTTGGCTGCCCCTTTCTGCACATTTTCTAGTCTTCCCGAGGTGCAGTGACCAGAATTGTACACAGGATTCCCAGGATGGTTACAGCATAGATTCATATATAAGTGTTACAATAGGGGCACTTTCATTATTACTTTCCTATTGATCCCCAACATAGAATTTGCCTTCTCAAAGCAGCCACACTGGGCTGACATTTCCACTGACCTCTCCAACCAAAGCACAGCTGGCCACCACTCCTTTCTTGTGCATCCACCACTGGCTCAGACCACATCAATGTATGTTTGAACTGTGGCTTTATGTTGTTGGGGTCTGAGCTGACCTGGGCTGACCCAGAAAATGATTTGTGAGTTGTGGTTATAGCTCAGTGGAAATGTCAGCTTGGTGCACTATGAAAGGGGAATTCTACAGGACTGGCCCTCACTAGGAAATAACCTCTTCCCCTAAACTCACCAGGATGTATTTCTGTGTAAATATATCTCAGAGGGGTAGTTGTATTAGTCAGCTGCAGAAAACAGCAGCAACAAAGAGCCTTTAGCATCTTAAAAAGAAATAGATGCATTCTGGCATAAGATTTCATGAGCATCTAATGTATATGATGGCATGTCTACAAAATCTTAAACCAGAAGAAAAGTGTCAGGGAGCTAACCTAGCCATGTTTAGACAGAAAAAGTGCTGCTGTCTAAAATCCCCAGCAAGCTGCAAAATATTTCGGTTAGAGTTATTATTTTGGATTGCATGTAGCATGCAATTTGTTCCTTTTGTGCTCAGGAAATCCCATCTCAGAGTGTCAGTCAGGAAAAAAGATGGGTTTTGGTTCATCTTTCTGTTGCTTAAGCAGTTTAAGATAAAGTTGGGCGGAGGGAAGAAGCTGGCCAGGCTGTGCTTCACATCTACTCATTTGCACTCCTCCTGTGCTGTTTAAACAAAACCACTGAATTTCTGTTGTGCACTTTTGCAAACTTTCTTTGATAGCAAACCATAAAGGTGAATTGTACAAGAAGAGCAAACCAGAGCCCTTTCTTTATTCTGTGCTGCTGTCTGTGTGGCATTACAGGAATGTGTTTGATCACTCTTAGAGCTACAAAAGTGAGTCAAAGACTGTACTTCCTCCTAGCATGTACATTTTTCTTGTGGACAGGAAATTGTGGGTTGCATTTCCATTTCTGAAGCTTAGATGGAAGAAGCAAATGCATTGCTCAAGGGAGATGGGAATGGGTAGAAAGATGAGAAAATGCAGCTTGTGTGCTGGTGTTGAAGGCCCTGCATCTTCAGCCTTCACTGCCAAGGACTTGTGAGCTGAGGTTGCTTCCTTATACAAGGAAAAATCACATGGAGGAGAGCTGCACTTGATCAGATGGGTGACCCAGCTTCCATGTTCTTTGAATTACATGGTGGAGAAGAGGGCTGTCTTCGTGGTTTCACAGCACAGGGCCTGCTGCTATTCCTGAGATGAGATGAGATGAGATTGAGCAAAAAGTATGCCTGCAAAGGGATGGAAAATTCTGCCTTCGTATGAGAGAGAGAGAAACAGAGAGAGAGAGAAGCAGGAGGGGGAGAGTCTGGCCCACGGTCACTTTTCATTGTTCCCCTCCTAAGATAGTGCAGGAGTAAATGATATATAGAAGAACAAAGTGGGCAATGTAAGGCTTTCAGGGCACATGTGCCCACCCTGCCCCTCAGCACTGCAGCACTCCAATTCCCATCAGCAACAACATCAATTGAGAACAAGCTCAATCTCACCTCCTTACTGGGGCATCACATTTTCTGATCATGTTCTGGACAGCATCTGCACCCTAAACATCAAGGGCTTTAAAGGTATCTGTACGTTTTTGCAAATAGTGCAGAAGCCAAGAGAGCACGCCAACTGTTCAGCTGCTAGCCATTATGACTGATGTTAATTATGTTGGGAGCAAGAGGCTCAGCTTAAATAATGTTATTCATTCATTGTAGATTGATGATTTCATTTTACATTTCTCACTTGTCTACATAAACTGCACTCAAAGCAGCATAGAAAATAATATCAACACTAACACTCTTGATTGAGAAAACAAAATGGTATCCTGAATGTCACAAAAATTCTATACAACGCAAACAGAAACTACTTATAAATTAAAGAACCCATGTATTAGTTACTAAGTAATAATACTAATTATTCAATAATACTAAAATTTTTCATACTAAATTTTAGTATAACATCACTGACAAATAATGGGAAAAATTATACTTCATTTTAATGACTTGGATGTGCTTGTTTTTGCCACAAAGAAAATAAAAATGTGTTACTGCCGACAGTTGCAAGCACATTTCTGATTCTGCAGCTATTTCATTCCTGTATTAAGCCTAAGTGATTGCTATTCCCTGCAATCTGAACCCATTCAAATGAGACCTCTTTGGCTTTAAAACAAATTAATCAGCTCTGTAAGGCTCTGAATTAAAATGAATGAACACTGTACGTTGTCACAGACGTCTCTCCTTTAAATGAAACAAAGGAAGGAGGATCCTACAATTTCATTGTAATCATAGGAGTAAACCCCTGGATGATTCTCATGGAACTTTGGGGTTCTGGGGAACACAGTTTGAATGCCGTGGTCTTAGATCAACCATCCACTGGGGATTGTGGGAATTGCAATCCAATTTATTTAGAGGGCACAAGCTTGGGGAAGGCTAAATAGATCTACTGCTCAGCTGTGGTCTGTAGAAAACCTGTTGCATAGTCTAGCCAGGCAGTTGACACCATCATCGTCATCATCATCATCATCATCAATTATATTAATATACTGCCTGTAGCCAAAGTTCTTTGGGCAGTTTACAATATTGAAGTCACGCCTCCAGATTTCAACCAGGCCCAACCCTGCTTAGCTTCCAAGATTAGGCAGGATCAGGCACTTCAGGCTAGACACACGGCCGCTCTATAGTTTGCTACAAGAATCAGTGGTGAAGTGAATCTGACCTACTTCAAAAGATAGTAAAAGTTTCTAGTGTGTGTTTTTTAAAAGATTTGTTCCACAGAAAGAGCAGCCTGTGAGTCCCTCTGTACTGTTAATGCAGCAGTTTAGCTATTCAGTATCAGCCGTTCATGGCATTGGGCTGTTTACTCATGACTGGCCCAGGGCCTGTTTTCCTCCCCCGTGGAGTGTGTGTATGGCGAGGCTGGCAGGGGTTTGGTTCCACAGCAGTTTGCACTGACTAAGTCTGAACACAATTATGCTGAAGGGTACAAAAATTCTTTTTTTGACTTCCAGCCTGTTACGCCAGCTATAATCTTAAGAAACTTAAAAAAACACACCAGTGTGCATGCATGTGCGCACATGTGCACACACCAAACTGCCTGCAATTGTGTGGTTGATGCAGTGTCATGCGCAGGCTTAAAAATTAGCCCTTTCCAGGTAATTGCAGCCTTCCCCAAATGAGCATCCTCCAGATGTTTTGGACAACTGCCAGCTTTCCTCACTGCCTGCTAGCTGAGCTTGATCAGAGGGTTTTTTTTAATGTTCTATTATTATATTTCTATCCCTTATTTTTCCCTCTCGCAAGGACCCCTGGGGAGCTCACTACAACAAAGTCTTTTCATATGCAGCATTTTTCTGGCCTGGAGCATTTTCAGCTGACCCCAAAGGCAACTGAGACAGCGCAACTGAGACAGCGCCACTGAAGCTCTCAGCTACTGGGTTCAAAAACATTGCCGCAACAACTGTGCCCATGGTCCTTGGCTGAAAGCATTACTCTCAGGCCAAAGGATATTGGCATAACATGGCTTAATCTTTTACCCTGAAAGACTGATTTATGTGCTGCCTTTCAGGGAAAACTTGCCCACAGTGCCTGACAAGTGACTGAGCAAATTTCCCACACTTATTATTTTATTTATTTATTAAAAGCTTTTATACTCCGTCCTATTATATAAAAATCTCAGGACAGCTTACAATGCTTTAAAAGGACAATTTAAAAGACAACAATTTCCAATTAATAAATTGAAAACAAAACAATGTATAAAATAAAACAATAAACAGTAAATCACAAACGTTACAAACTACTAATTTTAAAATGCCGTTTAAATAAAAAGGTTTTGACCTGACACTGAAAAAAGTATAGGCTTGGTGCCAGGTGAACCTCTCTGGGAAGTACATTCCAGAGTCTGGGCACCACTGCAGGGAAGGCTCTACTCCGAGTTGATGACCTTTTTACCTCTTTTAGAGAGTGTTCCCGGAGCAAGGCTCCTCCTGCAGATCTTAAGGGGTGTGAGGGCATATAAGGAAGAAGACATTCCTTCAGATATCCTGGTCCCAAGCTATTGCTGAATGTAACATGCAACCCCAAAACATTTCTATCCCGAGCCCTCCTCTTCCCTCCTTTCGGCAATAAGGCTGATGGCTGTGAAAGAGGTGGATGGGGGAGCCAGAGAGAAGCAGGGCTATCCACCTCCCCTTCCCCTGAAAAATTCCTCAGAAGCAGGATTCTGGTAACTACAGATTTAGGGTGTGCTCCTGCGCATGTCCAGGTGTGCTGGCTGGGGAATTCTGGGAGCTTGTAGAAGCTTTCTGTGTCTAAATGTGCATAGGACTGCATCCTTAGTCACTTACCCCTGCAGTTTTGGTACAGGCATCATCCTGTAAACAAAGGCCTTTAAAAACTGTGACTCTTCTCTCAAGGAACAGATCAGCTCAGTATCAAAGCAGGGAAGGCTATAATAAGGGCAGGTACTAGCTATTTAATTATTTAACTTTGCAGTGTTGCATATGGTATAAAGTATTGGTGGAACGGAGAAATAATGAGAGGTCCTAAGACAGAAACGGAATCTCTTCCAACTTGACACCAAGTTAGATTTCCACAGTTGGGTGGGGTTGAAAGCGAAAGGAGTGAAGCCAAAGGCACAAGAGCCACTGCCAAGGTACACAAAGAGCCTGCAAAGGGCCCAGGTGAACGACTTCGTTAAATCTATTCCGCCTGCCTTTCAACAGATTGTCAGGCATCTTCCATTCTGTCCTCTGCACTTTCATGGGCTCTGCATGTGCGCCCTCAAGATGTTACAAGGATTTCACTCTTGTGTAACATCCCTGAAAGGTGGTGGTTGTTTTTTAATCCACAAGTTCATGGAAAAAAGCTGGTCTGCTGTGGAATCTACAGATCAGATTCCTGGAAATCAAACTTGAGTTCATTGTGCATTTTTATACTTTCTTTAGTCCTTGCTAGCTCAAAGCAATGAACTTGACAAAAACCACCTTTTTTGTTATAAGCTAACCAGAACAGGACGAGATTATCACTTTGGAGCACCATACAAACTCTTTGATCCTGATCCAGAACTGCTAGATAACAGCTTGCAGCTAAGTCCTGTGTGTTCTCCCATTGATCTTCCCAACAATCCGAGAAGAAAGTTACATTGCAATCATGTAATTTTTAATAAGTAATAGCAATAAGTAATAATTACTTATTATTATTACATAGTAATAAGCACTATTAAACATTTCCTGCAGCATAGTATCACTTGGGCTTCAGGTTCCCTGATCAAAAATGACAAGATATACTCCCATGGTTATGCTGCCTGCCACCTCTTCAAAATCTGTTTTCTTTTTGTTGGTTGGTTGGTTGGTTGGTTGGTTTTGTTTTAATGGATGAATTATTTCTATATCGTCCATCTATACTATTCTATATAATAATGGATGAATTATTACTTGGACTATTGACCGCAGTGGGGCCTATTTCTGAGTATACATGTGGTATTGTGCTTTTGGTGAATCTCATATAAGTGCAATGTATTAAACCAAGCTCTCATTTCTTTTCAGCTATTGGATCTCAGGAAGGAAGACAGTTTAATCATCAAATGCAATGAATGGCTAGGATGTTATATCCTGTTTATAAGGCTGCAGTGGCACCATCGTTTGAAATAGGTTATTAACTAGATGAGCCTTGCTGTCTTCCAGACTTACAGGGTTATGTTTTTCCCAGACCTCTGTAGTCCAACATGAATTACAGAGCTGTTTTCTCACTTCCCGGCCCTCCACAGGACAAGAGTGCAATGTTTCATCACCACCTAATATTCCTCATTGGAATGGTATTTGCATGTAGGGAAATGCATGCAATTCCTCGGTGTTCAATGGAAGACAGGAATGTAAACTATGATCACTGCAACTTTACTCGGGTTCCCTTTGTGCCTGAAACTGTCGTCATACTTTCTTTAAACTTCAATTACATCCGAGAAGTGAATGCTGCCTCCTTCCCATTACGAGAAAGATTGATGATTTTGTCACTTGGATCACAATTGGCTCCCCCTGTAATCATAAGAAGAGAAGCTTTTAGGAATGTATCAAATCTCATACAACTGGATTTAGGTGACAATAAAATGATTGTGTTGGACCAAGGTGCTTTTGTGGGACTGGTGAAGTTGCATAACCTTTTTCTATATTTAAATGGTTTTAATGAATCTATTTTGGAAGAGAATTACTTTCAAGATTTGGTCTCTTTGGAATGTTTGGATCTTCAGTACAATCAAATCACTAGGCTTCATCCTCATCCTCTATTTTACAGCATGAAAGCCTTGGAAATTCTGAAGTTGAAATTAAACCCCATTAAGACCATCTGTGAAGGAGATCTGGACAGCCTTCAGGGGAAAAGATTCTCATTGCTAGATCTCAATTCCAACCACTTATATAGAGAACCTTCAATGGACTGGGCATCCTGTGGAAATCCTTTTAAAAATATTCACATAGGCACATTGGATGTTGGTCGTAATGGATGGAATGTGCCTACAACTCAGCAATTCTCTGCAGCTATTCAAGGAACACCACTTCAGCATTTGAAGGTCTCATCTTCTTCAATTGGTATATCATTTGGGTATAATAATCTCCAGGATCCAGACAATAATACATTTGTAGGTCTTCGTAAGAGTGGCCTTCTAATCCTTGATATTTCACACAGCAATATTTTCTCTCTGAACCCCTATGTATATCAATATCTCAGTGATCTGCTGCTGCTTGATCTGAATGCAAACTCTATCAATCGAATTCGGAAAGAAGCATTTTTTGGTCTTCAAAACCTGCAATACTTAAACCTGTCATACAATCTGCTGGGTGAACTCCGTGATTATACCTTCAAGGGACTTCCTAATGTGGTTACTATAGATCTGGAACATAATCATATTGGGGTGATTCAAGAAGGCACATTCAAATATTTACCAAGACTTCAGACACTGAATCTCAGGGATAATGCCCTAGTAGTAATCCGGTCACTCCCAAATCTTGCCTCCATTCTTTTAGGTGACAACCGGCTACAATCCAGAGGCACTAACAGAATCTCAGCTATAAATGCCACAGACATTGACTTGGAGGAAAACAAGCTAGAAGACCTGGGCAATCTCTATGAACTACTCCACATTCCAGAGGTGCAGCGTATTTTTTTGAAAAACAATCGCTTTTCTTATTGCTACAAACGGAACAACGTAGCAGAAAACAATACACTAATCTACTTGGATCTTGGAGGTAATATATTAAGGCTTGTGTGGGAAAGTAATGCATGCTTAGATGTGTTCAAGGCACTTTCCAAGCTTCAAGTCCTCCATCTTAATAATAACTATCTCCGTTCCCTTCCAGAGGGTATCTTTATTGGCCTAGTCTCACTGATTAGGCTGAATTTGGCTTCTAACCAGCTGAGTTATATTTCTCACACTGCCTTCCCTCCAAGCCTGAGGAATCTTGACTTATCAGCTAACCACCTGCTTTATCCAGATCCTCAGGTCTTTGCAACTCTAGACTATCTAGATCTCACCTATAATCAATTTTACTGTGATTGCCTCTTAAGCAGCCTGCTTATGTGGCTAAACGAAACCAATGTCACCTTGGCTGGATCACCAAATGACATGTTCTGTTTTGGGCCTCCTGGTTTCACTGGTGCTCCTCTTCAAACATTAAATGTTGACGGTTGCAATGAAGAGAAGCTCTGGGAGTCTCTTCGGTTGTCACTCTTCATTTTTACCTGTGTTGCTCTGATGGTGTTCTTAGAGCTGGTGATCATCTTTACTCATTTTAGGGGAACTTGTTTTATCTGGTATAAGACTGTAACAAGAGTCTTCTTAAATGAGTTGGAGCACAAGCTGGATAAAGAGAAATATAGATATGATGCCTACCTGTGCTATAGCAGCAAGGACTTTGAGTGGGTCCAGAATTCCTTGATCAAGCACTTGGACTCCCAGTATTGTGAGAAGAACATGTTTGCTCTCTGTTTTGAAGAAAGAGATTTCCTACCTGGAGAGGACCATATCAGTAACATCCGCGATGCCATTTGGAACTGTAGGAAAACCATTTGCATCGTGACGAAGCATTTTCTCAAGGATGGCTGGTGTGTGGAGGCATTTAATTTTGCTCAGAGTAGGTATTTTTGCGAACTGAAGGATGTTCTCATTATGGTGGTAGCTGGGTCACTTTCTCAATATCAGCTAAGGAAATATAAGCCAATCAGAGCCTTTTTGCAAAGGGGACAGTACCTGAGGTGGCCCGAAGACCATCAGGACATGGAGTGGTTTCTCAATGTGCTTTCTCACAAAATAGTGAAGGACAAAGAGGTTAAGAAAAAACAGGAAGACTTGGAATTGGAAACTGTAAAGGTGTCTTAATTGGCAAGTTGGTTGCATGTCATTTCAGGGCATAAGCTAACTAGTTCTCCAAAGAATGTGTCATCCAGTTCTTCAAAGTGCTTAGTCCTAATCTAACTATCCCAGAGTCTGAAGGAGTCTATGTACAGTTGAATGCATTTGTCTTAAGGGCACTGAGCTGCATGTACCTGGATGAATTTAAATGTTTGCGGTTTGGTTCAAGGCTGAACCCTTAAGTCTACCTCATGTGAAGTCTGCAATTACAAATAAATACATGAATAAATGTGACAAATGAAGATGATAAAGGAATAAATAAGTAAAATGACTGCTGCGAGTGCCATGTGGTATAGCTGCTGCTAGTTCCTATGTGGTTCATTGTTGGTTTTGCCACCTGAAAGGAAATGGAAGCTCAACACATTTGGTTCTGCTTTGGCTTTCAAATCCACCTGCCTGGTCATGATGGGCAACTAGAAACTTTGCAGTCAGGTGAGTGGGTGAGCTGCCAGAAGGGGAGCAGGGTATGCAACTCAGCTGCACTTCTAGGCTGGGGACAGGGGAGATCACCTCACCTCTTTCCCAACCAGCTTACAACCCCAACAGACCAGTGGAGAGGAATGGCGTCTAAGCCCTGCTCTCTGCCTGTCACCATTGCACTGTATTTATATCCTGCCTTTCTCCCTCTTGCAAGGAGCCCAAGGTGGCTTACAAGGTTCCCCTCTAGCCTTTTGTATCTTCACAACAACCATGTGAGGTAGGTTAAGCTGGGAGGTAGTGACTGGCCCAGCATCACCCATGGGTGAGTTTCATGGCTGAATGGGACTCGAGCCCAAATCTCCCAAGTCCCTGTCCAGCAGTCTTACCCACAGTTCTCCAGGTGAAGCTCCATCCTAGGCACCCAGGATGGAAATCAACAATGGAGGAGAAGTCTTCTGTCTACTGCAAGCTTGCTGAGTTGCAGTATTCATGGAAATAAATACTGAGGCTGCTTTTGTTAAAGTGAAGCCAAGACCTTTTTTATCAGGTGAGAGGCATTTTCAGCAGTTCAAGTATTTTGATTTTACATTGTTTAATAATAATGCTGGAAACTTCAACATAGTTTTGAGCTGTTCCCTTTCAAATTACCCATCCAGGTATACCTGCAGTTACATTAGCAATGGGAAATATGAATGTTTGCATTTCTTAATTATGAAGTGACTGCTTTGGAAAGAAATGTATCTTCTGTTACAAGGCAGTTAAATTTTATTTAGCTAGATGGCAGTTGATTCTGTAATGAAAATTGTGAAAATTAGGTAGTGAGCATCTTTAGCCTGAAGGGGGTGCTGTAGGAATTCAAAAGCTGTCTGAATTTTACCAAGTATACATATGCAGCTGTTTACAAGAACTTTCATAGGCAAATTGGCTACAGAAAGACTGCTTTTGCTTTAGCTGAACTTTTCCTGTTGGCTGAATGGGGAAAGTGAGCTTCTCCAATTCCCATCTCCTGTTGCCATCCCCCTATGTCTCCCCAAAACCTGCTCCAGAGGGGAGAGGGTATGATGGAAAGGCATGGTGGACAAAATTGTGTTGAGAGCACCAAAAGAAGGAATCGGTTAAAATTGCCTCACCCATCCCAGTGGACCATTCTGAGTGGATCTCTGCCTTTTTTTTAAAGCAAGTCTCTAGCCCTTATACAACCTGAGATACCAGGCAAAATGCCTAGTCATTATACTGTTTGGGAAAAAATAATGCTACTGTCTTTTAGTGTGTAGGACATACCTGGCTGGCCAGCATCAGGCAGAAGCTGGCTAGTCATGCCCTGAGCATTAGCACAACAATTCAGAACATACAGCGTAGTCAGACAACAACAGAGAATCACCAATGAACAATCCCCTGCCCAAAGCCTCCACCTCAGCCATAAGGTAGACCATCTTTCCAAGTGTGTGCAGAAATCATATGGAGCCAAATCTGCCAATCAGGAATCTCAGCAGGACTCTCAACCCAATAAGGAACTGTCCTTGTTACTTGGTCATGCAAGATATAAAAGGGGGCTCTGCCATGCTCCCGGGGTCGACTGCCATTTTGCTGTGATTGAGCTTATTCCCAAGAATAAAAATACTTCTTCCAGTTTCTCACTCTCCTCATGCTCGACTGGGTTGAGCATACCAAGGTCTGGACCCCTTGAGTCCAACAAGTGCTTTTAGCCAATGAATGAAGCTGTGGCAAAGGTTAACAGACGGACTGTCTGGATGTTTGGAGTCTTTCTGGGATCTTCCTTGTAAGAAAGTATTTGCAGCCTCATAAAAAAGCAATTTAGAAATCTGGGAGTTTATTGTAGCTAAATTTGGGCAGTAGTTTTTCTACTAACCCCACCCCCTTGCCAAAGTTAGCAGCAATAATAGGAGTTTATTATATTTGTAACTCCATCTTAATAAAAAATAAAAACCCCTGAGTTTATGAACATTCAAAAATTATCCTGACACTGTGTGCAGATAAAGTTCACTATTATGATACCCTCATTGCAGGAGGCAGTAGCTGAAAAAGTGTGGTCTTGAAATCCTGCAAAGTATTCCAGTATTGTTATTCTGCCACTTTCCCCTTTTGGGGTGTGTGTGGCAAGGGTAGTACAAGACAACCCTGCAGGATAGCCAGTATTGTTATCCAGATTTCTGGTGTTTTGGGGGAAATGCAGATGGGGCTGTGAAGTTGATTGTGACAGTCATGCATCCATTTATTCAGGGCTGGAGGGTGGTGTGTGTGTGTGTCAATTGTATTATTGATAAACTTTTTTTTAAATGGTAAACCATCATAAGATGTTTAATGAATGATGGCAGTGTTGTAAAAAATAATTAAATAAATGTCTTTTAGGAAGCCTGACATTTTTAGTGCTTGCAGGAGGCCCAAGTGAAGCATTTCCTCATTTTCTCACAGTGCAGGCCTTGGAGCTGAGACAATGTGCCGTGTAGTTTCTCAAAAGTGTTTTCTCATGTGTTACACTGATAAATAACGCTGTTATGAAGGTACCCGAATCTATTGTGTGTTGCCTACAGAGCAGACCCTAGGAGAAGACTGCAAGCTGAGCAGCTCGCACACATACCACAATATTAATCACACCCTTCACCCGTTTAATGGCTCTTGGCCACTTATAGAAGTGACAGGAGTCAGAGGGAAAATTGAGTGTTTCAGCCGTAGGTGGAAAGACATTGCTCAGGAAGCAGGTTTACACAGACAGAAACTGGAGGGGCAGACCTGGGGCACACATTTCTCAGATATCAGGTCCACCTATCTTCTCACCCTGATGATCGTAGGAAGTTTTGGACCTCAACTCCCACCAGCCCCAAACAGGATGGCCATTGGCAGGAATGCTGGAAATTGTAGTGCAAATCGTCTGGCAGGCACCAGTTTAGGGAAGGCTTCTCTAGAGAGTGTTTGCCAGTGTTTCCAAGATGAAGAAAATAATTCCAGGCAGGCTGTGTGCAACTTGGAAACCCCTAGAAAAAAAATCCTGCTGATTTTCACGAACACTACTTCCTCTTTATTATATAAGGCAGACTCAGAAACAAAAGTTGCAATGAATGAGTATCCCTCTGAGGGAACAGAGGGAAGGGACATGGAATAGTTTTGAAGGAAGCAGCACTGAAAAAAACCCAGAGATGGATAGGAAGTATATTTGCCCCTGAAAACAAAGGACATGCCCTACGCCAGGGGTAGACAACCTGTGACCATATGTTTGGACTGCAACTCCTATCAGTCCCAGCCAGCATGACCAACAATAAGGTTATGGGAGTTGTGGTTCAAAACGTCTGGAGAGCATCAATTTGCTCTGTACTTCACTGTTGCAAAATACTCACTTGGACATCAGTACAGATATTTAATAGCTGTCCTCATCAGTGCAAGCTCTCTTTTCTAGTGATTTTCAGCAATGAATGCAGTGAATGAAAAGTACTCCGACCAGGGTACTTGAAAAGAAAAGAAATGCCTGTGCCTGATTGGTTGAGCCTATATAAATTGAGACCTAGACTCATAACTATAGATTCAATTCCCTTTAGTCCTGCAAGGAACATTAAAGCTTTATTTGAATTTTATGACTCTAGTTAAGGACATACTCATTGGTTTTACTCAGCTGATAGGATGGATGATGTTAAGGCACAGGGAGAGTTTCCCAAAGCAGCATGATAGTGAGTCTTTAAAGCTGATCATGGGCATAAAAGCCACTGGGTTTATTCTCCAGAGCAGGACCTAGAAAAATCCTGATTTAGAGTGATCACTCAGTACAAAAAAAAAAGATACTGAGGATTAGTATTACTGTCTCCCTTCAAGATTCCATCCCCACAAAGATCTTGAGCAGGGTGGAAACCTGAGACTTTCCAGTTGTCCTTCATCTCACAATATCCTTGTCCATTGGCCACATTGATGGAAATTGGTGTCCAGCAACATCTGATGGGCCAAAGGTTCTGCACACTAGCCTGCAGCTCAAAGCTTTCCTCCGAATCCTAGAAGGAAAAGTTCTATCCTTTTGGGACCACAGTAAATTGGGAACTTAGTGCAGCAATTGTAGACATCTCCTTACAATTCCTTCATTGTTTGCGCCTCACAAAATTTGCAGTAGTCAAGTCTCCAGGAGTTACGTGAATTCACAGGAGCAAATCCATTCAACTGGTGAACTGAAGAAATCTGCCAAATCACTGAACCTCCAACATGCCCTGTGATCTCCACCCTCACAGACTGGTGCCGAGGAAGTCTCCCTTTATGCTGATCAAAGGCGAATTCAATGACACAGAAAAGTATTTTTGACTCCTTCACATTCAGAAAGTGCTCTAGGTATGTCAGAATTCCTTATTTCACATAACAAAGGCTAGCTGTTTATGGATAGCAGGGACTGTGTTTCCTTCCTTCCTTCCTTCCTTCCTTCCTTCCAGGTAAACTATTGTTTGCCCTGCTACTAGTCTATTAATAAGTCTTTGAAAACATGCAGCAAAGGGTGGCATGGCTCTCAAGAAATGAAGCACTACGGAAAGGGAAGTATAGCTTATCCTGTTTAGATGTGGTGTCCAAAAAAGAAAGGATTTTAAGTTAAAGGAGCAGCAACTTGTAACCATTAATCAGGGGCTTAATCCAGCTAGATGAACATCACTGACAGAACTGGGGTTTCTGGCTGCTTTCTTCCCACATCAGCCCCTATGGAACGGGCGAACTGTTCTATGGGGACCCGAGAATCCCCAAAATCAAAGAGCCTTTCTCTGAGCAAAGCCTTGCAGAATATCCCTTCTTTTCTGGAGGGCAGACCCTTCGCGTGTGTCAAAGACAGGTTAGTTTCCTTGGACATGCTTGTGCCTGCCAGTTCAAGTAT